TAGGGAATTTTTTATGAAAATAAATACTTCGTCTAACATGACTATTCCTAACTTCATACTAATCTGATACTTTTAATTTTCAAATATCATTGGGAGAAACATTTTCTTTTTAAACTGGTTTTCAAGAAAGTTGTTATTTTGCATAAATACATGGATATTGATATTTTTAGTCATGCCAGTGTCGTGTAAAATAGTATTTTGATGATTTTTTGCAAATTTAGAATGGATCAAGACTGTTTAAATTAGCGACGGAAGCAGAATTACAAATCGTAAGATTCCTGACAAAATCTATTTCTATATATTGCCAACCTTCATTCTTCGATATAACCTTTCAAAAGCAATGTAAATTTTGATTTAAAAACAAAAAAAAGGTATTTTTATTTATTTTCATTTCGTAACTGGTGACGTAATTTACTTTTCGCAATCAGTTGCATAATGTTCTACTTTATGCAACTGGTTGCATAAAGTAGATCGTTTTGACACCTGCTGCGATTACAAAAGATGTCACTTTATTAGTCAAAATTAGAAAAAATAATTTTCAAAACTTTGAACTGAACATCGAAATTGGAATATTTCTCTAATATACACACCGCACAAAAATTATCGCATCACTAATATTTCTAAATATTTTGGCCATGTACTTTTTTAAAAATATTTTTTTTTTTTGGTTTAATTTATATTGAACCTTTGTAATTACATAAATCATAAATAAAATTTCTCATTTTAAATCAATATGTACAGGGTAAATAAAGAATACCAAAAACGGACATAATAGAATTTATATTGCCTTCGTTACAAAAATTAAATTCTTCGAAAAATGTGAAATTTTCTGAAAAATACAATTTTCTTAGTATCTTGTATTGCCTCCTCTTTCCCTTATCACATCCTCCATTCGCCTTGGTGAGCTTTCAAACAACCTATGTATGTATTCTTGCTCCATGTTGTTCCATATTTCGTTTATTGCATGTTGAAGCTCATTAAGGGTTCTGAACGGAGCTTGACGGTGCTGGATCGCCCAACCTAAGTGGTCCCATACGAGCTCTATCTGATTGAGGTCTGTGCTGCGAGCTGGCCAATTCAATGTAGCAATATTTACCTCCTCAAGATATTCAGGCACTATCCCGGCAGCGTGCGGTCTGGCGTTATCGTGCATTAGCACAAAATTTTCGCCAATAAAAGGGCCGTATGGAACCACATGAGGTTCTAGAATTATCCCTTATGTATCGGTCAGCCGTCATCCTACCACCATTAACAGCTACTAACTCCGTTTGCTCATGAAAAGATATTCCTCCCCATACCATTATTGACCCACCTCCAAAACTTTCCCTTTCACGAAAGTTGCATTGGTAATGTCGCTCGCCTGGTCTTCGGTATACTGGCATTCGTCGGTCTGAAGAGAACAAACAAAATCTGGACTCGTCTGTAAAGAGGATATTGGACCATTCTTCTACACCCCATACAGTGGTCTCTAGCAAAGTGTAAACGGCAAACTCGATGTTCTCTGGTAAGACGCGGGTCATTGGCTGGAACCATTGCACGTATATCATGCTCTCGAAGACGATTACGTACGGTTTGTACGCAAATCTGAACATTTCGGGCAGCTAAAAGGTCATTCTGGAGCATTCGAGCAGTGCCGTGTCGTGTTCTTAGGGCTGAAAGTAAAAAAAACGATCATCTAGAGCTTTTGTAACTCTAGGACGACCTTGGCCCTCTCTTCTAGAGTACAGTCCAGTCTACCTATGCCTTTGAACAACTCTTGAAATGGTACACCCAATAAATCCGCCACGTACCTTTGACTTCGCCCATCTTCAATCAGCGCAATTGCTTTGACGGCCTCTTCATCTGTCAAATGGTGAGTTAAACGTTGTGCACCAGCCATAGTATACACCTTTATCGTACAACTTAATATCAAAGCAGCAAACACATAAATGAACAGCATAATTGCAAAGTGGAATGTATGCCTATCCGCATTCTCCCGAAAAATAGTAAACAAGAACCTAATAAAAGAAAAAACGACCAGTTTTTTGACTCGAGTTAATCAGTAAAGAATGCCCATTCAGGGAATACTTAAGAAATTTTAAAAATAAATTTACTGTAGCCAAAATATTTAAAAGCATTGGTGATGCGATAATTTTTGTGCGGTGTGTATAATTAAATTATGAAATTATTTATTGTTGTTTTAAATTGTTTTGTTTCATATTATTATAAATTTAGGTAAAAATTAATAAATAAAGATAGCATCTTGTAGTATTAATTATAAAAGTATCTTTGAAATTCTATTCATAGCTGCTTACGAATAAAATCCAGAAAGCTGAAATCTGTTGAATATCGTATCAACAGAAATTGAATTTTGAAAAAATCTACCTAGTATCTGTAAGTCCATTATTGATGTTGTTTTTTATTACAAATAAATCGATAAACTTTATTTTATCATTTATATCTAATAACAAGATAAATAATTCACTCAAACTTAATACATTATTTCGACATTGTAATATTGCGTTGTAAAATTTGTATTGTATACTAATGCTAACAAATATTAATAATAGAGCTTTTATATAAATTCAATTGTTCATTTATAAAATTTGATTTAACAAATTTAATTTAACACTGCCTGAAATAATAATTCGATGTTTTCGAGAGAAAATGGAATATTATTTTTTAATTATCTCCAATGTCCATTAGTTATTTAAACAATTTGTGTGGGTACAAAAACTAATTTCCAACTGAATAGAAATAGAAACTGGAAAATCGAATTTATAATATTTAATACGAAAATCAATGAGTTCACAAAATAATTAGTTTACTTAGTTATATCGATACAAAGTTTAAATTAATATTGTTATAATCTATATGAACCCAGAGTCTAATATACGGGATGTTTCAGAGTGAAACGTAATGTGTTAATTTTTGTTCATTCTTTTAGGTGATTTTTGTTTTTATTTTATTTTCGAAATTTAAATTCTCTTTACAAATTTTTATTATACAAAGTGTTTCATTAGTGCGTAATTGTTCAATATTTCAATTTTTGCTATAGACACGCAAACAAGTTTCAAATAAAAGTTATATGAATTTAAAAAAAACGTATTTTAAAAATATTTTTGGATATACAGGGTGTTGCGTTTTTGCCTGGAAAATAAAAATGTATATTTTTTTTAAACTAAATACCATGTATTTTATTTCAGTTTTAAAATGGTTTAGTAATATTGCATTCAACACTAGAATTTTTTTTCAAAATATTACAGGTTTGTCAAGCAATTAATTTTTTTTATGAAATTAGAGAACGATGCAGTCCCCAAAATAAATTATCAGTCAAACACTAATAGATATAAGTTTATTCACAACTGGTATCTATAAATCAATTCTAAACTGGCAAATGTCTGATACGATGTCAGACCCCTATTGGTTAAAATTCAAAATAAACTTGATGTGCCGACCTCCTCGCTCTCTGGGAACCCTAAGAAGATGGACAGGGCAACCTATGTCCACCTTCTCCAAGAGGCTCTGAGAGAGGTGGAGCCCGAAATACCAAACAATACCAATGCTTTGGAATAGTACTCAAATACTATCAAAAACACAATGCCTATAAGATATCCTGTCCCCTGAGGCTGGTCCAACTTAAGACGAATAACTGCATGGTGGTGTCACGAGTTGGATTACCTCAGGAAGATGGCTAGGAAATCCGTTAATAAGGCAAGAACCACAAAACTTAAAAAAAACTGGAATACTTACAAATTTCACCTTAGAAAACAAAAAAATCGTTAGGAAAAAACAGAGAGATGCATGGAGATTCTGAGAGATGCATGGAGATTCTACTGCGAAGAAATCAAAGATTTCCTGTAGACAGTGAGGCTTCAAAAAGTTCTCTCAAAAGATCCACACCGCAGCATTGGTGCGTTAATTAAAGAGGATGGCATGAAAACTGCGAAACTCGAAGATAGCATAAAACGTCTGCTGTCAACACACTCTCTGACTCGGTCATCACAGACGTGGCCGACTGGGCAGAGGAAGAATACAACCCATCTCTCTGATTGGTAAATTATTAAACAGATTGTAGACGATGACAGAACTAGGTGGACAATATCCAGGTTCTCTTCATTTAAATCGCAAGGACCTGACGGAATCTATCCAGCCCTACTTCAGTGTGGGTTGGAGGAACTCATACCGTACCTGGTAGGTATATTCAGATCCTCGTTGACTCTGAGGTATATCACTAAAAAAAAAAGCTTTGGCCAAAAGTATCCATCAACAATGTGGTCACCTTAAGATGGATCTAAGGTCACGCCTTTCTGATTCACTGGCCAAGAAGGCAGCCAACCAAATACTTTTTGGATCTGGTCCTTCTATTGGCTTGACAAAATCGGTAGAACAGACCTAATTAAAGAAAATTCCCTTGTGGAATTCAAGGAAAGATGGAATGAAACAAGAAACTGCAGGGAGCTTTTAATTTATCATGACAACACTACAGCAAACAAATACTTGACTATGACTAGACATAATCTATGCCTGCTCACAAACATTTTGACTGGTCATTGCCAAGTACGGAATCATCTTCATATCATAGGACTGTCAGAATCCGCACTTTGCAAGGGGTGCAAACAAGACGATGAGACTACCGAGCATATCCTCTACGATTGCTCAACGCTCTCATTTATTAGAAGATTTGTATTCGGCGAGTATCGGCTAACACCGGCCGATATAAGAGAAGCACCTCTTGGTGACGTTATATCTGAATCCGAGAGATTGCCCATATATTCGCATATTTGTTCAAATTTTAATTTTATATGACTCAATTTAGTTTTGACAAAAAATCATTTTGTTTTAATTGTTATTCTTACTATAAGACTTAACTATCTAATGAGAGAATTTAATTTTAATAAAATTTTAAAAACTGTAGGCATGTGGGAGGAATATCTATTAGAGTACTAGCACTTCTTTACACTTAGGGGATTTTTATCTATAAACAGTCTAAATATTATCTAAATGTAACTTGTACTTACATGCATATCTAACTTATCGATTTCGGAAAGGACCCAGCCGACAGAGCCGTCTCCGCTACAAACTAAAATTCGGAATGGATCGAAGTGTCTAAAAAGTTTTAGGCCCAAACGGGGACCTGTAGAGATGAGATCAAAAACTTGTGCGGGGTTCAGGAGTTGCTTAAATTTTCTAAGAAATTTCACGCCCTGGTTATCACCTGAAACGAAAATACAGTAATAATCCCTTATCTAACTGAAAAAAGTGGCACGAAGTGTTTTTTGCTTGCCATTTGTAGTTGGGTACAGGGAAGGGGGAAGGGGGTGAACATCAGGTGGCTGGAGCTGTCGTGTGACCTGTAAAATTTAAAGTAAAGTTGCTTATCGATGGAGTTTTTCGTTTTTGTTGACAATGAAATATATAGGGTGTTCGCTAATTAATAGTACATAGCAAAACTGCAGATTCTTTGGGTAAAAATATTGTGATTTAACCAAACTTACCTTAGTCCAAAAGTTAATAATGACCGAATTTTCATTTTGTTTTTCTTCATTTTTTGTCAACAAGACGACATACCGGCACGAAATTATGAATTTAAAAGTTTCTGAAGACGAGAAATTCAAATCCGTTCTTAGTTCTGATGCAACTTGTAGTGAGAGCCATTTATGGTACATGAACTCTCTTTAAAATTACAAAAAAAATTTGTGTCTCGATGTATTGACCTGTTAAAATTATATATTTTTCGCCTTTTTTAATGCAAAAATGGTAAACTTTGTAAATTTTGCTTTCAAATATCTGTTAAATGTAAAATTTTTAATGAAGTGCATGGCTAGAACAATAATAATGGAAAAACAACAACAAAAAAACAAAAACATTTAATAAAAAAAGAGGAAATCTTTCGACAAAAATGTTCAAATAGATTTCCTTTAACCGATTCTCTCGAAACCGTTCCACAGCATTCACAATTTTATTCCATGACATAATAACAGCCTACTTCAACCAAAAATTTTACATTTGGGACTTTGAAAAGGTGTTCTGAATAATTGATACGCAGATCTGGAAAACGGTCACTCGGAGCGACATTTACAAGGTATACTTTTTTGCGTAAAAAGGTGGAAAATACATAATATTTATTATTTAGGCTAATACACCGTGACAAAAACAGTTTGGATATTTTAAAGAGGTTTCATATATTGTGACTCCGTCTACTAGGTGCATCTGAACTAATAACGGATTTGAATTTCTCGCCTTTAAATTCATAATTTCGTGCCCATATGTCGCCCTGTTGATGAAATATTAAGAAAAAACGAAATGAAAATTACAACTTTGACACTTTGTATTTAGATTATTACCAACTTTTGGACGGGTAAGTTTGGTTAAATCACAATATTTTTACCCAAAGAATCTGAAGTTTTGCTGTGTACCATTAATCGTTTACAATAAAAAAATCCTTTGCAAGTCGGCGAAAGAGTTGAGAAAAAAAATGCCACCTGGCGAAAATTACCTGTTTTTTAAAATAGGTTTAAAATCAGAACCAAAAGTCGAAAAGTAGTTTAATTGCTCTTAGAATGTTTGTATAGCTCTCAAATAAGAGTATTACCCTTTTCTAATCGGTAGTACTATCTCACTCAGTCTTTTATTCACCTCGGGTTTTCGAGAAATAAAGCGTCAGAAAAAAACGCGTTTAAGATATGTGGCCGAAATCCCTACACCGGAAGTAGCAAAACCAGACGACAAAAATGCTTGCAACCGGATATTTTTGTACTGTTGTAGACGTCTAGAAGCACATATTTCATTACCAGCAAAAAACGAAAAAATCCATCGATAAGCAACATTACTTTGAATTTGTATCCAATTACAAATAGCAAACAAAGAACACGACATGCTTTTTTGCAGTCAGACACACTGAAAAACAAATTTTCAAATGAACAGGTCGGAAATTGCTTCCATTATTATATCAACGAAGAGAGATGATCCTGATTTTAGTTCGGATAAATCTGACTGCGATGTGCAAATAATTTTTTCTACGATCACTATCCAAAGTAGGCTTTTGCACATTCAAATCTAACTGGAAAGTTGACGTTTTTCATGAATTGTCATAGCTTGACATTATTGCCGCATATAGGCGGAAAATTACTTTTTTTTTTCAATAGAAAATTTCATTAGAAAGGTTGTTATTATAGAGATAATCGGTATTTTAAAAGGAACTGTAGACTAATCTGAATCTTTTAGTTGAACATTTAATACTCAAACTCATTTTCCATAATATTTCAATGATAATTAAAATATTAAAAATAAATTACCCTGTTTTTAACATTCATATTTAACATGTCTTGTTAGTGTAGAGCCTAGCGCGTTTGTATTTAAACCTGATGGTCGTCAATTCAATCTTCACCAGTTTGAATTTTTTTTTAATTTTAATTTTTTTGTCTGTAAAATTAAATAAAACTTAAAACAGTGTATCAGCCATTAATTTGCCATTTGAGTATTCTAACCGATGCTCTTGTAAGTTATTTTTAATCTTCAAGTAAGCAGACAAAACGCAATATTCACATAACATACTTTTCGATTGCTAGTCAAGTTAGCCGTGTCTGTCAAATTAACGTAGTAAGATTTGAATTCGGCAAAATAATATACTTTTAATATCGTGTCATCGTAGAAAAAACCTTGTGTGTAATTCGAGCAGGAAGCTATTTGTCGCTTACGATAAAATGACGCACTCCGCTGCGCCCCGCGCGGCAACTTTTTATCTTAAGCGGCAAAGTAGCACTTTCCGCTCTTAATACACAAATAGCTATTTTAGCCTTTAAATTTTATTTTAAGTTTTAAACTGTCATGTGTTGTTAATTTTATTGTCTAACTATTCTAATTATTGTCAGTTTTTTAAAAATAGATGTTTATAAACTAACTGAACATAAATATCTAAATAAAATTTTGTTTGTTATATTAAGGGTCGATATTTTCACCTCTGAGTAAAGTTACATGTAGGTTTACTTAACAGATTAATAAATAATAGCCCTATAGTTTAATCAGCAAGTAGTTACTTTCAACTTTACTGAGTGGTGAAAAGATTGGCCCTTAATCCAAGCCAAAAACTTTATTTCGCACTTTAAAACAATGTTCCCTTGTTAATTTGTTAATTTGGCAACTCTGTATAATTATGAAGGTCTAAAATTTAACGCGTCATCGATGACGTGCATTGAATTTTATATTGAATCCAATACAGGTCCACTACTGTTTTTTCGAATGTTATACAGTAACTTTTATCAAGAAAATAATGTACCATATAACTTTACCTGACTTAGAATTAACGAATACTAAAAGGGGAGATGAAGCTTGCGGTCGTACCGCATCCCAGGCTTCGTCTTGGATGGAGTGAAGAGCCGTAGGCGGTACGACACTCACTCTAGCGGGGCCTAGGGGACACCGCGTCTGGATGTGGGGCCTGCATTGGGTATGTACCGTCGCCCTACACCACAGACATCGCCAGTCTTGTAACCTGTAAGTAAAAAAGAAAAAATCAAATCAAAATAAATTAATTGATATTAGTATACAATTAATAATATTAATTGTTCAGGTTTAACACCAAACATGGGCGGACACTAGCCTAAGCAACTCAATGCTTGTTATCGCAATGAGCGACAGCCAATGAAAAGAAAGTATGACATAATTCCTGTTTCCGTTTTAAAAACTCAAGTAAAAAGGCAAGGCACAACAAGCGTTCTTCAAGCGTTATCAGACGATCTCAGAGAAAACATGTCTTACATACGCCTCATTGTGTGTAATGAGCATTTTGATACTCGTTAGGATATTATTTTTCGTATTTTTATATTTAATGTTTAAAGGGACTTTTCTAGTGCACCTTGTAAAGTGTTTAGTTTTGGATTCAATGCAGAGAGAATCGTCTACGCGACGGTGACGCTGAGCAACGCCAGAGGTAGGGAGAAGGTGATAAAAGCTCTGAGAAACGATATGCCGGTAGTTTTTGTTTTGTAAATTCATCCTAGCTCTTTCTTTCCTCTCTTATTTCTGAAGAGTTTTATTTTAATCAAATTGAGGTTATTAAAGTTATGGTTTAATATTTAGCAATAGGTAATGCTTTTTTTTATTGTTCTTAAGGTGAATTTTTGGCTAAACGCTGCATTAAAGGGTATTTGTTGCAGGTATTTAGAATGTATATTCCACTAATTTAAGTATATATCATTGGTTAGGGGTGGATTTTATTAATTTAAGTTGAACAAGGGTTTATTTCAAGAAAAAAATCAGGTTAGGTCTTAATTTTGGCAACGAATTTTAACCTTTATTGCCTCGTAATCTAATCTTGTTTTTCCAGTGAGCGGAGATTCATTGATTTGTGTAAATTTGTTGATAGATTCTTTGCAGTGATTTCATTTATTTTAATTTGTTTACTGTTTTCTTTCTATCGTGTAACAAATCAATGGAACGCTGATTACCGGGTTATAATATTTTTTTGCAAATCCTAGGTATTCCTAGTGTGGTGTTTAGGTAATAATTTGCGTTTTGAGAAGATTGAAAATTGGCTACTTTACTTACTTACTTATGAAATATTAAACATTATTCACTGATATTACAGCATGGGCGAAGTTATGTCATCAGATCTGGGGGGGCTAAAGCCCTAACCCTAGTCATATAAAATATAATAGTTCTAGAGGTATACTGAAGTTAAGTAAAAAAATTCTGGCGAATCTATGAAAATGAATAAAATATCATATATAAATGAAAAAACTGAATAATTTTCATCACAATAATTTTCATCACAAAAATTTCCCTAATTTTCGCAACAAGAGTAGATATGGACAATCCACTCGAGTTGTGCAGTATATTTTTTCTACGAACTACTAACGAAAATCTACAAATTTAAAAAATTATTTTAGGTTTAGACAAAATAAGCCATTTTAAAATAATTTATAAATTTTATTAATTTATAAAATAAAAAACATAAAAAAAAATTTGCCCCTATATAGTCCAGATTCGAACCCAGGCTATTCGCATGGAAGGCAAATGCTCTGTCCTCAGCTCCACCGCCACTTTTAGGTTTTTAATTTTAATACTCGTAAATAAATTAGTTTCATACAATTTGATTAAAATTTACTTTTTTAAATGTGGCCCAAATAAAATTAAAATGTTATTTTTTATCGATTCTAAACAAAAATAACTAATTTTAACGTATATGTAATCTTAATGACTAAAAAATATACTGACAGTTTGTCAGAATTTAAAATTTTAAAAATAATAGTAGTTGGATGTCCAAAATATGAACTGGGATTTGTGGATTTCATTATTTTGCAGTTTTCTCGCTATGTTATGTTGGGAATGGGGTGTTAATACACTGCGACCTAAAATATCTATTGTGCTCCCTTCTATCGCTAATGCAGCAAGGAAATGTCTCAATGCCTATAACGACCCTTTCAATTATATCTTCTCAAGGAAGTGTCGGATTTGGAGTGGCTTCAAGTTTCTATTTGATATGCTCCTAGGTATAGTGCCCTTGGATTCTGGAGTGCTACACATTCAGTTAGAATGTAAATGAAGGTTTCGTCCTTCTCCTCACAGAATCTTCACTCACTATTTTCTACTACTCTCAGTTTACTAAGGTGTCTTTTTAGTTGGCAATGCCCAGTAAGGATCCCTGTTACAAGTGCAGTACTAGAAAAATGTATATTATGATAACAGCTTAAAATACAATCTGGCTAATGTGGAATACCCCGAAAGCCTTGCCAGACTTGTCTAATGATCGTCAGGCGCGCTAAAATCTGCACGTTCGATTACTATTCCTCTCCTCGTTTAACTACCTGGCTTGTCAGGTCCGACCGAAATACGGTTTTATAACCGAAACCGAAACCCAATTTCGGCTTCTTTCTTAGTCGAAACCGAAACAAAAATAAGAACTTTCTTTTAAGGCAATCTCTTATTAAAATTTGCAATATCTTTGTTTAAGACTAATTAACTCGTATTATAAATTTTAGCTACATTTACTTATTACCTATTTATTTATGTGATCAAAAGAAGCCATTAATAAATTTATTGACATTGTTTTTTTTTATTACTTTTGAAACTAAAAAAAAAAATAAGTGAATTACAAAGTAGCAATCATTTCTGCATCTGTCTCTAGATTTTTTGTAACAAAAAATAGTATTATGAAGGGAATTATATATAATGTAATTTTTATTTAAAAAAAAACAAATTCAGATAATTAAATATGTTTGTTACTTATAATTAAATTAATATTCATAAGTAAACAGTCTAACGTTGTAGGCTAGAAATAATATTTTTTCAACGTTTCACCTAAAAAAATGCTCCTTTTATACGAATAAATTAGGCCAGGAGCACTTGACAGACATACATTAAAACGACTAAAATCAAATTTTCAAAGCTGGCCATAGAAAAAATTTTCAGTATAATTTCGTTCAGGGTACCCACCAAAAGAAAAATTTCCGGAAATTTTTCATAGAAGCGTTTGAAAATAACGGTATTTGATCTGCTATAAAATAGAGCTGTAAAATTATAATATAATCTATTACATGACAAATTTTCAAACCCGGGAAAATAAAAGCAAAAATATTATATTTTTTCGATTTTGAAGATATTACCAGACTCATTTGCCAATTTCGTAAATCAGCCAGACTTATTATTATTAACAGTTCATGATTGTATCAATTTATATGCTAAATTTTCTGCCACACTCACTTTCCACTATCTGAGATATTCCAAACTGCTATTTTTATAAGCTTTATGTTCTAGTTTAGTAAATGTAAAATATTTATGACTGGGAAAATAAGTGTCAGACTCAAAATGTTTGTTTTTTGTCACTAAGAGAACAGTTTATTTTCATATACACCGATTGGAAAAATGAGTACGAGTAAAATTCACTGCCTCCTGAACTAAATGTAAAATTTCAGAATCAATCAAATGGCACGATTTTTCTTTATTAATTTCTGTTCTGAAATCTGAAATGTGTGGATAGATGTGCGATAAATGTTCGAATTATTTTTGGGGGGGCTAATTTGGTTTTTGGGGGGGCTTAGCCCCCCCAAGCCCCCCCTAACTTCGCCCATGTATTACAGTGAGATTAAGTGACTTTCAGACTGATTCTTTACAGAGCTTCTATCTTTCTTCGTTCATCTTTCTTCTATCATTTTTCTTCTCTCATATTTCGTAAAACTTTTTTATTAATTAATTTAGGTATATGTAAAGGAAACTGAAAATGTTAATGCTGGTTAATTAATAAAAAAAAAGGGTACTTTACTCTACTTCTATTTCTACTATCCTATTTCCTTTTATATTTTTTTATTATTTTTAAGGGTAATTTTTCATATAATCTTTAGTGTTATTTGGCGTATGACATTTAGGTTGTCAATTTATTGTCGAGATCTACTATATCAATGGATAATTTTTTTGCAATCCTTTTGGAATTTAGTTTAATGTAATTTAAAATTCTGGCAACTGTAGGTTGTTTTTTGTATGGAAATAATTTTAAAATTTTAAAATTCTGGTTAAATTGTTTTTGAGATTAATCACCATAAATGTGTCTTGTCAAACCAGAAAATTCCAAATAATTTTCTAAAATACACACACAAACTTATTTCTCCGGCACACCTCGTGTCAGGTAAAGGAGGTTAGGTATGTAATAATTTTACCTAATCAATCTTATAATATTTACCAGTTATGTTAGTGTAATGTGTACCGTTTAGTGCAAATAAAAGCTTATATTTGGAAAGTATTGGTTTTGTTATATGGAAGCATGAAGCACCGTCCTTTTTTTGCAGTCTAAGACAAGCTCAGTAGGTTTGCCACCTCATCTGGAAGGTAAAATCGCCCCACTACTAAAATTAATGAATAGAGGGTCCAAATAGTCCACAGTATTTTGCTAAATAATAGCCAAACCTGTGATAAAGATTCCCTCATATCTCAAAGTTGGTTAAGTGTAATAGTTTTACAGTGATAGTGAAATTAGAAATGATTATTAGATATGAAGAGAAAAAATAATATGCAGGACAGATAAGGAGGATGAGACCAAGAACAGTTTATATAATAACTAATTATTTTTAATTTTGAGGATAGTGAATGAACCCAAAACCAAATATGATGAAACACATTATTGACGAAATTGCTTATGCACATAATAAAATAATATTAGGGCTTCCCCCTTATCACTGCGAGCTCAACCTAATAAAAAGCTGTTGCGAAAAAAAATTCTACTTTTAAATTTGCGATGTCAAAAATATTTTTAGTGAATCTGTCTTGCCCATTATCAATAAAAAATGGAAACATTGCGCATGAAATGTAAAAGATAAGGTAGAAGTAAAAATGTTAGAATTAAATCATCTAATAGATGAAAAAGTTAATAGAAATCCGTTGATAAATAATTAATCCTTAATATGATTCTTCTAGTAGCAGTTCTTCAGATTCTGAGTAACCGGCCCACATTGACAAGAGGATTTATTATTATTTTATATATCTGGAATCTGTTAATTTAAA